GGGGGGGGGGGGGGGGGGGGGGGGGGTGCTGGTGTGGAGTTAATTTTCTCCTTGTGTTGATAGTCTTCAAGCCTTTTTTGTTTCTTAAGCTTTTACTATCCGTCAGTGAACCTGGGAAAGTGATAGTGCTCTTGAGATGTATTGAAATGGGGAGTTTCCGTATTTGTTACTTTTTTTAATTAAGATTATCCCCCCTTCTTTATCAGACAATTACAGAAATCTTTCTTATATAATTGGCTCTGGCCTTTTGTCTTTGGATTGGATTTTGTACCCTCCATATTCATGAGGCACACTCCTTTTGACGATATGTTAGCTTTCTAAAGAAAGGTTGTATGATTTACCATGAATATCATTAACTATACTTCGTATCTGTCATTCTCTTGACTATAATTTGAATTGTTAACCTTCTGCTCTATGTTTCCAAGCAACTGGGCGGTATTCTGAGTGGTAGTTTTCAGGCATTAAGTTTTAAACTCTCTGTTAAGTCTTTGTGTTTGCTGCTCCCTAAAGCAATTTCTCTTACAGCCATATTAAAATTATGTTAATAGGAATCACGGACATGATTGCAAATTAAGTATCAGTAATTGGTCAACACCCATATTAGATTGGAATGAAAAATTGTATCTGCTCTGGGAGGTATAGTGATATGAACCAAGAGACATCAATCATACAATATACTTCAATGAAGATGTGAAGAAAAGGTTGTCAAAATTATCAAAAAGATGTTTCAATTCATGCTACATTGAAGAAGAATGAAGTTTGATTGTTGTAAATTTTGGGTGGGTTACAATTTAGAGTTATTGTATTTTAAGACTTGTTATTTAATTTCGGTTACATTTACATAATGGCTAATTATGACCATAAAGTAGGAATGTTACAACTTTTGGAATACCTTTAGTAGTTTCATTTTTTTTGGCTATATAAAGCCATGTATGTTGTATTTGTAAAAGACTTAGAAGATATACCAAAAGAAGCATTTGTGCTTTTCTTTAGCCAATGGCTAAGTTTCTTTGCAACTCTATGTAGTTTAGGTTGCATGTAGAATCATTCAAGCTCGACATGATCAATCTTGCTTGTGGAGTGATTCGAATCTCAATCAAGTGTTCTTGTCTTGAGATATTTGATCAACTAGAATCATTGAAGCTAGACATGATCGATCTTGCTTGTGGAGTGATTCGAATCTCAATCAAGTGTTCTTGTCTTGAGATATTTGATCAACAAGAATCATTGAAGCTAGACATGATCGATCTTGCTTCTGGAGTGATTCGAATCTCAAACAAAGTGTTCTTGGCTTGAGATATTCGATCGACAAGGTAATCCGAATCTTATTCCCATAACTCTAAATTATAACCCACCCAAAATTTACAACAATCAAACTTTATTCTTCTTCAATGTAGCATGAATTGAAACATCTTTTGATTATTTTGATAACCTTTTCTCCACATCTTCATTGAAGCATATTGTATGATTGATGTCTCTTGGTTCATATCATATAGAATGTAGTTTAACAATTTATGTAGTCAATTAAAATCCCTCTCTCACTCATTTCAATTGTAAAAATTTGTTGGTGAAGTTCTGATATAAAAGTTTCTCTCTCTCTCTAGTTTCTTCTATATATATGCTTGGTGCCCTTTTAAGTTTAAAGAGTAAGATATTAGGAATACATATTCCACCTGGAATAATGTCTCTTCTCATTATAGGGTGGAGGAGTCGTCGCTAAAAAAGCTACCAATCCTGCACCACGATTGATCAACTCTAGCGAACTTGAGTAATAAGAAATGACTTATTGCTTTTATTATGTTTTTTTTTTCTTTTATGGGCACATTGACGTTAAGATTTTTATTCTTTGCTTTTTGCAGGGAATTTCGACCACTCATGCAATTTAGGCGTGACCGTGAAACGGGGAAGCTTTTTGAATTTTTTGATGGGATGATGCTCAAGGATGGATATCTATACAAAAAAGTATCTTTAGATTCATTAAACTGCTGGGGTGTGATGCCATCTGAAGATGAGCTCTTAAAGTTCAAGCCTCCTGAGAGCAACGAAGCTAATGATCTTGAGTGGCTTTCTCAACTTTATGGTGAAAAGAAGAAAAAGAAGATTATTAGGACTGAAAAGGGGGGTGGAAAAGGAGAGGGCTCATCAGGGTCTAGTTCCATGATCAGCTTTGGAGATCATGATCTTGTTTGTTTTGGGTGAGTCACATTATATTTTCTCAAAAAAACTGTACTAACAGATTTCGTTGACCCATAACTCAAATACTTTGCAAATGGTAACCTTGCTGACCCTTGCAGCCGGAAAGATTTTGGGATGATATTAGGGACGGAAAAAGATGATAGTTACAAGGTATATATATCACTAAAAGTTTCAATTGATTTATTTTTTACCATTCGTCTGGTCACTAACTTCTATTACCTGTTTTTGGTCAATACTCTATTCCCTCCTGCCATTCCTGTTATCTAGATTTTGAAGGATGGCCCTGATGGATCTGTTGTGGTGAATGTGCAACGGAAAGAGTTGAAAAGTGGGCCTTTAGATGCTAAATTTACTTCTGTTGATCTCAATGGAAAGATCATCTCTGTTTCAGACAATGTCAAGGTTTTGGAAGGTTCATTGAAGGTTCGTTCTTTTTTAAAACAATTTACCTGTTGATGTATCCTATAAAGTAGGCTGTCTTACACAATTTCTTTGAACTTACAGGATAAGCAAGGGATTGTTAAGCATGTATACAGGCACACGGTGTTTGTATATGATGAGAATGAGGTGGACAACGATGGTTATTTCTGCTGCAAATCTAACTTGTGTGCGAAAATCAAGATTTCTTATGATGCACCTAGTGGAAAGGTTCTGTGAATGTTCTCTTTATTTTGTTGATCATTCGTTTAGCTTGTGCTGAACCGTACAATTTTTTTCTCCATTTAGGAGGATGACAAGGGTTTCTCTGGTTTTGAGGATTTCTCCTCTTCGCCCAAATCACCTCTATCCCCTCAAAAGCCATGGGCAGAGAAGGAAGGCCGTGAGTGTATGTATCGATATTGCTGATGCATAGGCATTTTACTCATATATATTACTGTTGAAGACCTTCTTTGGATGCAGACAACCGTGATGATAGAGGAGATGGAATGTTCTCCATTGGTCAAACCTTGAGAATACGTGTTGGTCCTTTAAAGGGATACCTATGTCGTGTTATAGCTGTGCATAAAAGAGATGTTACAGTGAAGCTTGATTCCCAACAGAAGGTTCTTACAGGTCTGTTTGACGTTGGTTGTGATTGTATCTTGGCCCTGTTGAATGTTGTCTGTGAGTACTGGTTAGATTGGAAGCTAGACAATTTTAACGATGTTATTTATTTTTTTAAATTGAATTTCCACAGTCAGATCTGATCTTCTTGCGGAGGTACATAGAAAGAGCTCTGCCGTGTCTGTTAGGTATTGTTCTAAAAATGCCTATGTTTTCTTGAGCAGTTTACTAGAGATTGTACGTTATATCTCTCTCTCTCACTCATGCAATAAAAATATCATTTTACAGTGAGGATCCTGAATTTTCTTCTCTAAAACCATTTGATATACTGGGAAATGAAGGCAGCTCCCAAGGTTTGAATTCGTATTTGAAATTTGCATCTTAATTTCTTGCGTGAGTGGATTTCCTAGAATGTTTGAGAGGTTATATTAATCTCTTTTAAATGTATTTTTTAAAATAGTAAGTGCAGATTTATTGCCTATTCACACAATCAATTTTATTTTACCAAAGTACATATTTATTTCCTCTGCGAACATTTTTTTTTTAGTATTACTAGTTTGACACACTTGTTCAGAAACATACCTTTCACGATTACTAGTTTAACATGCTTGTTCTTTTTAAGATTGGATGGGTGGTACGGGGTCATCTGCAGCTGCTGATGGCTGGAATTCTGCCGGGCCTTCTTCAGAAAGGTATGTTTCTGGATACCAATGTACTTGGACATTGAACTTCTTTTTCTCAATCCTTGATCTAAATTTAAGAAGAAAAGAAAATGAAAAAAGCAATTATGGATAAGCTATCCTGAGTGTCTTACATAATCAAGTCTGAACTTTGTAGAATGTGATTATTGGCCTTGTGTAAAATGTATTACTGTTGTCCGTAGAAAGTTTTTTTTTTATGCTTATCTTTATCTACTTTAAATTATATGAACTCATAAACAGGTTAACTTAGACCATGATAGTTACTTGTGGATGGTCTGCAAGCGTGCATTTGTTGTTGAAATGCATTCAAACTTGTCGGGAGGTTTCTCTCACTTTTTTTTTTGGCTTTAAAAGATTTTGTAGAGCTTTCATTAGTAATCTCCGTAAGAGGATGTGTCCCATCAACTCCACTTTAGAACTTCTAATTATCACGAGATCTTTATGTCAATGAATATAGTGTTCATTATTAATCTCCTATCTTTTGTCTTTATTCCTTTTTTCTTTAGAAATAAGTTTCTTGTTTCAATCTGGGTAAATCACCTGAAAGCTACTAGTGCAATGTTGGTGGTTGTATGTGTTTTTTTTTGGTCAGGGGATGGTTATTGAAACTAATTGATAGATATGAACATGAGATATTTATAATGTTATAGTCTGAAAAATTGTCATGACTATATTCTGACTGTATGCTTCAAGATGTGCAACGCATGGTCAAACATCCGTTTGTTTGTATGTATATTAAATTTCTTTTATTAGTTTTATTGAAAAGACTTTTGTAGTTTTATCTGATCTAAGAGGCAATATCTGCATATTGAGACTTTTGTAATTATGAATTTCGCTACTGTTTCTCTATGTCCATTCACAAATTTGTTTTTGTAAATATACTTCTCTGCAGAAGCCCTTGGCCCAGTTTCCCCGAGTCTGGTACCTTGGTTAGTTTTGCTCTTCGATCACTTTCTGCTTCTTCTTTGTGCTGTTAAATGTTAATGCTCCAAGAAAAATTTCCATGCATATTCTCTCTCTTTCTGGTTGCAGAATTGTCCTGGGTCCAGTTCCACGAATCCTTTTGGTTCTGAAAATCTTGATGCTAAAAAAGGTACAATGAATTGGGCGTTTTTCTTTAGTAATTTATACTTTATTATGCACGAATATCAATTTCTAAGAAGCTGGTTTATGTTGTTTTCCATGATAACTATAGATGTTGAAGACTCTCCTTGGGTTAGCAAGTCGACTGCAGAAGCAAACACTTCCTGGGGTGCTGCAAATTCGAGTGTTGATACTGCTAATGATGATCAAGCCTGTGGATGGGGTAAGAGCGAGTCATGGGACAAAGCTACTGCTAAAACTATTTCAGATGGTAACGTTTCTGGTGCCTGGGGCAAATCAGTAGTACCTAGTGGAGATTCTGCTGGCGACAAGTGGGACAAAGGGAAGCATGTAACTTCTGATAATCAGACTGGAAAGTGGGGCGGCGGAACCTCTGGAAAGAATGAACTCAGTGCATGGAGCAGAGATAAAGATTCAGAATCTGGGGGGTGGAAAAAGAATCCAAGTGTTAGTGTTGGTGATAACAATACTCCAGCAGAAACCTCAGCTGATAAGTGGGGCAGCAAAAATAGATCAAATGGAAGCTGGGGTGACCAGAATGTATCAACCACTGTCTCTGAGATTCAGACAGCTGGCAAAGACAATGTAGGTGGCTGGACCAAACCAGGAGCAGAAAGTAAGATCAATCCAAGTGGTTGGAATGAAGACACTTCAATGAAGGGAGGTCAAACATCAAACTGGGGCAACCGGGACGAGGCAGGTGGTTGGGGTAAGCCAATGAATGTGGGTGATGGTGGCAATTCTGCTTGGAATAAATCTACCGCTTGTGGAGATGGAAATGACAGTTGGAAAAAATCTAATGAATCAGAACGTGAGGGTGGAAATAGAAGTTGGAATGCATCCAAGTCATCCGATGGGGATTCAGCTATTTGGAAAGAGAAATCTGATTCCTCAAGTTTGACAGCTTCCAAAGGAGATCAGTGGGGGGGAGGTTGGAATAAGCAGCACAGTTCCAATGAGACGAAAGCTTCTGAGGACAATTCACCATGGAACAAGAAATCTGTTGAAAGTGGAAAAGATAACGAGCTGGAAAATCAAGGCAGTGGTTGGAATGTTGGAAAAACTTCTGGAGATTCTGCATCTGGGTGGGGTCAGACCAGCAGGGAAGCCGGCTCAAGTGACCAAGGGAGTAGCTGGGGTTCTAATTGGAAAAAAAAATCTGATACTGGAAATGAGGATTCTAGTTCGGCTAAGAAAAGCAACTGGAGTTCTGGTAGTGGCAATTCTAACTGGGGCGAGAAAAGTAACTGGAACTCAGGAAATGAATTTAATGCTAATCATTCCAACGATGGTGCTGAAGCTCAGACTGAAGTTTCCAATGATTGGAGAGGAGAAAGTAGTGATAGAGGAGGCTTTAGAGGTAGAGGTTCTTTCAGAGGAAGGGGTGAAAGGGGTCGGTTTGGTGGTAGAGGCAGATCTGATAGAGGTGGATTTGGCAGAGGTGGATCAGACAGAGGAGGATTTGGAGGCAGAGGCCGTGGGAGATGGAACAGTGAAGGTGGTTCAAATGATGGGGACAATAAAGGGTGGAGTAGTGGTGGTGGTGACTGGGAGAAGTCTAGTTCAGATCGAGGTGGATTTGGTGGCAGAGGCCGTGGAAGATGGAACAGAGAAAGTGGTTCAAATGATGGTGAGAATAGAGGGTGGAGTAGTGGTGGTGGTGACAGGGAGAGATCTGGATCAGACAGAGGTGGTTTTAGAGGCCGAGGTCGTGGAAGATGGAACCAGGAAGGCGGTTCACGTGATGGTGACAATGGAGGAGGGTGGAGTGGTGGTAGAGGCGGATATGGAGGCAGAGGCCGTGGAAGATGGAATCAAGAAGGTGGTTCAAATGATGGTGGTGACAGTGTAGGGTGGGGTGGTGGTGGTAACTGGGGGAAGTCTGGATCAGACAGAGGGGGATTTGGAGGCGGAGGCTCTGGAAAATGGAGCCAAGAAGGTGGTTCAAATAATAGTGACTATGGAGGATGGAGTGGAGGTGGTGGAGGAAGCTGGGGGAAGTCTGGATCAGATAGAGGCGGATTTGGAGGCCGAGGCCGTGGAAGAAGGAATCAAGATGGTGGTTTAAAAGATGATGACAATGTGGATAAACCTGCAAGCTGGAGCACAGGTTCAGGTAACAATGGAGGGTGGGGCAGTGGTGGTGGCACTGCAGGGTCCTGGAATGGAGGAGGCGATGACAAGAACCAGCAGCAGAGTTGGAAGTCGAGCAATGATGCTGGTGAGGGATCAGGTTGGAAGGCACCAAGTGGGAATGAGAACATTAATTGGAAAGCATCTGGTTCTTCTGGTGTGGATGATAATTCCGGCTGGAATAAATCAACTGCTTGCAAGGAGATTGAAGAGAGTGGTGATCAGAAGAATAGCAGGGGCAAAGCAGCAAAGGCGGATATTCATATTCAAGGCGGAGGCTGGCAGAAGTCAGCATCTGGTTGGAATGAAGGAATTGATAATCAAGCATCGAAGAAGGATGTGAATGCAGTTGCTAGCGATGGAGGTTGGAATGATCAAAGTGAAAATCAGGCCAAAAATTGGAAATCTTCTGAGGCTTCTGGTGAGGGTCAAAGTTCTGCCTGGAAGCCATCGACCTCGACCACGGACAAGGAAGCTGACAGTAGCCAGAAGGGCAACTGGAACAAAGAAGCCAATGCAGGTGCCCAAGGAGGAGGAGGGGGTTGGGACAAGCCTACATCCAGTAACGACGCTGCAGGTTGGGGAAAATCGAGTTCTGCAGATGATGGGAAATCGTCGTCTGGTTGGGGTCGGTGATTGATGGTAATATCTCACTTAATGTTCTGTGGACAAAGCGTTAAGACTTTCTTGTAAGGGAAATTATGAAAATCACACTCTTTGTTAATAACTTTTTTTTGTAGATTCAAGCAGATGCATGCTCTGGATGTGTTAATAGAAAACTATCAAATACTATCAAAAACCATCATGCTGTGTAGTTCTTCATATCTTTGAGCATGTTTGATTAACTAGCGAAATTGTAGGTTCCAAAAGTATTTCTCATGGGGCCATAGTTATAGTTCCTGGTAGTGAATGTTTTTCCCCTTCAAAAAAAATCATTTCTAGATCTCACATTTTCGAACATATTTATGAATGCATAGTGCACTTTGTCATTCTACCTTGCAGCCATATTCCTCGTCTTATTTCTTGAGCTCACTCGAGTTCATTCAATGTGTGGAGTGGAAAGAAGGTGTTTTTTAAGACATTAACACGTTGACAAGTCATCTTTCTCTCGATTGGAGATTTCCATCTGCTGTTCGAAAGATGATACCTCTCCTCGATTCCGAACCTCTAATCTTTAAATTGAAGGTGTGATTCTTCCATTTTTGTTTTCTTCATGGTTTCTTTCAGAGTTTGATGGTGCTAACTTTTAAATTTTTGAAACAGAACAACGGTGGAGCAGAATGGCAGCGGATCTTTCACTCGTTGTGGGAGGGAGACATCATCCACATTTCCACATGCTGCGGTTCCAAAGATTCCATTTTGTCAAATATTTCCACCGACAGACAGACAACCCATGTTTCGACAACGTTGATGTTTTACTGGTACGTTTGAAATTCACCTCCTTTTTGCTTCTTTGCCATACCATGCCTTATTTTAATTATAGTAAACACGTACATATAAGATATAGAAAGAGGCATCTTTTTTTTCTTTTCCTTTTGTAGTTTATATAACATTTTCTGAACTTTTCCAAGTACTACAATGCTGTCAATGATAATAAAGCATCATAGATGGAGTTTGTGTACAGAACTAAAATAGTAAGCAGAGTTAGAACGACCATGTTAACAACTGAAAGAGATGGTGGCAGTGCACTGTTCACACCGCCCCCGCCGAATATCATCCCGAAGTAGTCACCACCGCCATCGCTGCCACTGGACCCGGAATTGGAAAAGCTCTCGTCTCCAGGGTACGAGCTGCTCTGTCTACTCTCCCTACATCATTCAAAATGGAACAATGCTTGAGTATCCATCAAGATGAACATCAAATAATCACTCAATTCCTAGCTCTATGATTTGGTTGGTGAAGTTTGAGTTAGATAGAATAAAGCCTAATTGGCCAACTCTTAAAGAGAAATGGGCAAACCCCAGATTATGGTATGAATGGAAGAACCCCCACTTGCCCCAACTGCTAATGCTTCTTTTCCCCACACATGCACTATAACCCTCTTCCCTTTTACCCTTTATTTATGCTTACAACTTAAAAGGCTAACTTTTTCCTTTCTTTTCTAATCCACAGGGGACAACTTTACCCTTCTAATCGAGCTCATATTACCGAATAGAGTTGAACGTTGTAAGTATCTCGATTAATTAATAAACGATCATATATCGAGATCGCTACATTTACTAAACACTTGTTTATACTGTAATCTAGCATATTGGTAACAATTATTTTAACCAGAAAATTTAACCCAATCTCTCTCAATCCTACTTGAAGGAGATTTTGGTGTGTTTGGAAAAGCAAAAGGTATTGCTTGCTTGCCCAATGGAGAGGTGGACAGAACAGACAAAAGACAAGAACAAGAAAACAAGTGAGCTGTGTTTTTCGACTGTTGTGTCAGCCCTAGATTCTCACTCCAAAGTCCCACATACTATATCTCATTTAACCATTCAATTTATCCATAAATTTGTAATTTAGTTAAAATTATTTGTTTTTGTTTTTTTTTTTTTTTTATAATAAAGGTCTAGATAAGTTATTTATGAGGTTATATCCAATTATAAAATTCTAAAATTTAAAATTATAAGGACCACGTTTTTAACATTTACTCCCCGATCTCTAGAATCTCGAACGTATTTATCCTCGAGATAGATCAAAGCTACTTTCCGAGCATAAATTGTCTCTCCATTAACTACGCCAAATCTTGAGGTTAAAAAAATAAGGGTATTTTGGTCATTTCATATTGAAACTCTAAACTCGAATGAAAAACTAGGCCTCAACTATCACGACCCAATTGAAATTTTCAACTATAGAGAGTATGAATTTTAATCAAAAAGAAAAAAAAAAAGAAAAAATGAAGGGCAATTTGGTCATTTAGAAAGAAAAAGTACCTGGTCCCGCCGAAGACGCCGGCGTTGAGAGTGAGTTGGTCGACAAGAGCGGCGGATTTGGGCGCCACACTCGAAGCTTTAACGTACATATTGCTCAGTCCTTCGCCGGACGGCACAAAAAATGCACCATTTACCATAATGTCCCCCTCCGTCCTCCAGTTCCACTCCGACCAATCCCCCGCGTTTGTGTCCACGCGCTTCGTCACCTGCATTAAAACGACACCGTTTCACTTCTTTGACTATACACAGGTCGTCCAAAACAGGAAGCCAGTGGCTGAGGACTGTCCCGTCAAATCATTGACTTTACATATTTTACATTTGGTCCTTGTATATTTTAAAATTTTCAGTTTTGCCCCTACGTTATCAGAAATTGCTAAAATTAAAATTTTGAAAAAGTTAGAAAAAAAACTAAAAACCAAATGGAATTAGTGATATTACCTTAAAGCCCCGAAAACTTCCCTATAAATAATTTCCCTCAGCGGCGCGTTCAGAATACGCGCCGTGGACTGTACAACGAGTGGAGAGAAGAAAAGAGTAATAACGTTAACATACCTCCTTCGCATTGGGATTCCCCGGCGCAATATACCGATTCCCTTGGCTGTTGATCGTCGGACCACCGCTACCGCCGATGGCGTACATCTCCCACGATCGGAACTCGTTGTTGACCACGTGTATATAACCCCGCCGGCACCGCGGCATCCGCTGAACCAGCTTCTCGCCGAACAAATTAAACGCAATCGTCACCTGCATCCCCGAGTCTGGCGTATAGCCGTCCTCATGCCCCAGCAGCATCACCTCGTCGTGGTGCGAGAAGTAGTTGTTCGAGATCGTGATTCCGGTCGATCCCATTATGGCGTCGATTAAGCCGTCGGTACAGTACGATAAGGAGCAATGATCGATCCAGATGTTGCGCGAGCTGAAGATTGAGATTCCATCGCCGTCGGACTTTCCTCTGTATCCGACGTGCGTAGGGCTTGATCGGACGTTAGTGTGACCGGTAGGGATACAGTGATGAATGTTGATGTTGTGGATGATTACATTCGAGATGTACTGAAGTGTGATGCAACCGCCGCCGGTTATGTGGACATTTGCGCCGCGGCCATCTAGGGTTTTGTAACTGTTCATCATGAGTTCGTACTTGAGTTTGATAGTCATGTCTGCAGCAAAGACGATCCAGAGAGGTTCATCTTGAACCACAGCGTAGCGGAGAGTTCCAGGGCGAGGGTTTACAGGGTCGGAGTCGGAGGAATCTGTAACTATGTAGATCTGACCTCCTTTACCTCCCATGGCGTTTCGGCCAAATCCAATGCTGCAATCTGCAAGCCGTTGGCGATTGTCTTGCCAGTTCGAACCGCAGCGCCAACAATCATCGATAGGGTTTCCAGTTTGACAGGAATTCGATTGACCTTTAGAATGAATCGACAGCATTTCCCTTCTTGAAAATGAATCATTCACACTCCTGCAAGAAACATAGATATCACCAAATTAGTGGGAAGGAAGCCATTGAAGCAGGGGACTGCACCTTTGAGCAGAACAACAATGCACACAAGGTGTTTGTTAAAATGCCTAAACAAGAACAACTGCAGAACCCCATTAGAGGCATGTTCTGGACAAAGCCTGAATCAGTGGAAACTTGCTTGTTTACCTCTGAACTTCATAAGCAACAGTTTCAGGATCTGGAAGAAGATGTGGGTCAGTGAGATTGAAACTGAAAGCTGCCATAGAAGGCAGAGAGGAGCTCAAAAACCAGCTGAACAACAGAATGGCAATGGCAGCAAACATGTCTGCTTGTAGATTTTGTTGAAATGAAGAAGCAGAACAAGAACAAGAAGAACTCTATTTCAGGTACCTTCTTCTTGAAATGAACATGAACAAGAACAAGAACACTGCTTAATAACTAAACTATACATGAATCTGCTAACAAAACAACTTGGGAACAATGGGAAATGGCGAAAGAACACTTTAGATTCTCTTTCTTTGAAAAGATTATTCTAAAAGGGTATAATCCAGAGAGACAAGGGGGGAACGTGGGCTTTCTTCTCCAATTGTTGAACCCATTCTTCCTTCTTCCTTTGTTCTTTCTTTTTCTTTCTTCTGGTTCTGTTTCTGTCTGTGCATTAAAAATCCTCTGCTCCGGTGAGAGAGACAGTCTGTTTAATGTTCCTCCGCTTTCATGTTATTCTTTACTTTTATTCTTCATCTTTTTTTTCTTTTTTTTTTTTTGTTGGATCTTGATTTGTTTCTTAAAATATTGGTTTAGTGTTCTTGAATTCTTAATTTCATACGTAATTATGCTTTATTAGGCAAAAAAAAAAATTACTATTTTTCCTCTGCAATTTTCAATAAAACTGTGTGTTAATGGAGAATGTGATGGCATTTAATTTTATTTGATGATGAAATAAGGATTTAAAAAAAAAAAAAATTGGATTTTTGAGAGATATAGAAAATGTTAATTTGAAAATTATTTCAGTGATTTTTTTAAAATTTTATTTTAAAATACGACCAAATACTCAATTATTATTATTTTTGCAAGTTGTCAAAAGGAAGAAAAAAAAAAGCTTTATTTGAAAATAATTTTTGGACGTTGAATGGTTTTTTTAATTTTAATTTTAAATTTTTTTAATTTTTTGCTTTTTAAAAAACTATGATGGGAGCTGAATCTTCATTTAATTACATTTTAATTTACAAAAAATGCAAGAAAAAATAGCCTGAATAAATTAATAATATATATATATATATGGGCCCACCTCAACCTCCCACATGCTATCCTCTGTCTATTTTCCTTAACAAAGCCAATTTTGACTTAAATCAGCTTATAATAAATGGTTGGAGGTTGGATGGATTGGATAGATAGCTTACTACTTTATTTTATTTTATTTTATTTTATTTTATTTTATTTTATTTTATTTAAATTTTTAAAAAGGGTCTAATTGTCAATTACTTCACCCTCTAATTAGTTCCATCAACTTGCATTAAATTAAAACGATATTTTATTTTATTTTATTTTTCTATAAAACATTATTTCATGTTAGCAATGATTTAGGAACAATTAGGTAGACAAAGGTCAAATAATTAATAAAATTGGGGTATTTTAAGTCTTATTTAAGGATGTTGGTAGAGAATGATTGTAGATGCAAAATTAAAAAATGAGTAAATTATTGATTAAAATTTACAAAATATTGTTCAAATTAAAAGACCCTTTATTTCCATTACTATCCTTGAAAAATTAAATTGGCTCAAATTAATATATAGTTTTTCTTCATAAATCCATATATTAGGGGGGTATTTTTGTAAATTTCCTTATTTGTGACAATTAAATGCACAATAATATGAATTATGTTGCCCTATATTTGAAAAAAAGGTGGCCTAGTGAGACCTTTTAAGGTAATAAAGATGAGATTAAAATAAATAAATAAATAAGCTTGGAAAGTGACATTCCCACCCATTTATTATGGTCCAATAATATGAAATTAATTTAAATTATAGCAATATATTATGTTAATTTAACCTACGGGAATCAGTTTGGTAAGATACCATAAAAAATCTTCATTTATTGAAGAGCTAGAGGAAGAAAGTGAAAAAAATTTATTTCCATTAGATAAACGAGACCGAGACCGAGGATGAAGATTGAAACAGGTGGTGGGGACCCTACCCTATAGATATCTCTAAGTTAATTTATTTTTTATTACGAGTGCTCCAAAATATATTTTAAAAAATTTTACTCTTTCTTTAAATTAATTATTTATTTCTTATTTTTTTAATATATATATATATATTCCACGGAAAAAAGAAAAAAAAAAGTAAGGTGGGCCAAGCCCAATAGGATGTATTGATAATGATAGGTCCAGAATGGCCCAATTAGATAGCCCATTGGCCCATCAGAAATACTGGTTCGGTACACGTACGAAGATTTAAATTAGGTTCGGAACTTACTTCGGACAGCCGTTGTGCTCTCGATTTGAATTTTACAATTGTAGCCTCAAACTTTTATCCATTTCGCGCTCAATCCTTAGAATTCATCTCTCTTCAGTCCTCTCGCTCTCAGCAGAAGGAACTCTGTCCTTTGCAAGATCTGTTGTTTAAGCAGAAAGATTTTAGCGTTCGACCGTAGTTTCTCGAGCATGGAGGGTATAATTTCCCACGATTCAGAGAACTACGATGTTGGAGGTACTTTTTGTTTTTTATTTCTTGATCTTTTCCCTGTAAAATTTTTCTCAAATTCTTCAGATTCCTGTCTGTTTCCGTTTGATTTGTTTTCTGACTGTTGTATTTTCCATTAATCATTCGGGTTCTAGGAACTGAGGTTGCTTAATTCGAACCCTAATTGAATGTCGGGGTTTATATGATTTTCAAAGGACTCTAGGTTTTGGGTGTATGCCATTACGTTTTTTGTAAATTTTAGAAAGAATAATTCAATTTAGGTGAACTACCTCGAAATCGCTCTTCGCAAATTGAAGTGAGTTTTTCACTAGTTTTAGTAACCGGGAAAAGTTGGTTTTAGGTCAAAACATGAAATTAACGGGAGAGAAAATTATGAAGAGCTGCAAAGTAGGAGATGGGCAGAGAAAACAGCTTTCGGATATAAGTAACTTGAAGGAGCAACCAATAGTGCAGAAGCGAGATATGAAGCAGCAGCCGAGTTTGCTTATGAACAATGAATATGTTGATAAATTACAGAAGGTACACTCTTGATGGTGGTTTATTAGCTAGCATGTTGTTGAATTGGCTAACCTTATTGACATTGTTTTGGATTGTTTTTCCAGGAAAATATGGCACTCATGCGAGTGCTGGCAGAAAGAAAGTATCCTCTCTGATAGTTCATTGATTCACTGTTCTTCTTTTCGAGCCTTTTTTTTCCATTTCAATTGCTGAAGTTTTTCCTTCATTAGTATTCTTCAAATAGTCGCATAATTGAGATAAGTGGAAATGAGTTAGAGAAATTGAGAATCAATTTTCAGAAATTGCAGCAACAGAATCTGCAACTTGCCCAAGCAAACAGCCAAATGTTAGCGGTAAACTTGCACCTGCTTCCATTTTTATCAATTGTTCATGGCAACCTAGTCGCCTAGAAATTGAATTATGATAATCTTCTTCATTATGTGACGTTTTTTCTTTCTAATTTTAGGAACTTAATTCGAGCAAAGACAGGGTAAGTCAAAATTCTGCTATCTAAAATTTTATTTAGCTTGCATTTGCCCATTAAGTTGCTGCATATACTGAAACTAGTTTAATCTTCTGCAGCTGAAAGCGTTTCAGCATGAACTTGGATGTAAAAATGGCGTTCTTATGGCTAGAAATCTGGATTTGGAGGTTAGTTTAATCTTATATTAGTCATTTCATGTTTTAAATTAAGTGTTTATTTATTACTGAGATTGAAACTTTTCTCCCCAGAGAAAAGGAAAATTAGCAACACTCCAAACTGGAGAGGTACATCTAAACAATACTATTGTTTTCTTTTGTCAACTTTTCTTTAGCTGCTTACGCATTTCTTATCTCTACCTCAAGGTAGGGACTACCAAATGTAGTGAGGCAGAGGAATCTATGAATGCAGATAAGGATAATAAGCCTTGCAAAACTAACAGGCGACGAAAATCCAGAAGAGAATGTAAGTGTCAGTGCATGAATTTACCATCGGCATCAGGATATTCATATTGTCATTTTTTTAAAAGGGATTCTCTTCTGAATGCAGCTTTTGGCGCTTCTGTTCTTCAAACAGAGGTTCAGAAGGTTGAAGGCAAGAGGTTTGTTCGTGGATGTTTAATTGCTTTATTTGGGTTTATCTGATTATTGAGTGTACAAAAGACAAATCGAGCATGATCTTGATTGAATTTCGAACAGGCCCTGTTTTAGAAGGCAATCTGCAAAATTCAAAACCGAGGAATCAGTGAAGGATATCTTGGAGACAGAAAATTCCAGTTCTACCGATGCTTCTCAATGTATACAGACTCCAATTCTTCCAGCAGAGGATCAAAAGGCTGAAGGCAAGAGGTTTGTTCATGGATATTTAATGGCTTTATTTGGGTTTATCTGATTATTGAGTGTACAAAAGACAAATCGAACATGATTTTGATTGAATTTCGAACAGGCCTGGCTTTAGAAGGCAATCTGCAAGATTCAAAACCGAGGAATCAGTGGCTGCAAAGGATATCTTGGAGACAGAAAATTCAAATTCTACATGTGCTTCTCAATGTATAGAAACTTCAATTCTTCCAGCAGAGGTTCAAAAGGCTGAAGGAAAGAGGTATGTTCATGTATATTTAATCGCTTTGTTTAGGCTTATGTTTACAGGATGTGTTCAAAATGATATAGCATACATAAGACAAATAGAACATGAGTTTCATTGATTTCTAACAGGCCTTGCTCGAGAAGGCAGTCTGCAAGGCTCAAAACTGAGGAACCTGTTGGTACAAATGACTTATTCGAGATTGAAAACTCCAAATCTACCAATACTTCTCAATGTAAAGAGACTTCAATCCTTCAAACAGAGGTTCAGAAGGTTGAAGGCGAAAGGTCTGTTCGTGCATTGCTTTATTCGACCTTATATAGCATACAAAAGACCAACTAAAGATGAGCTTCATTGAATTTCTTAGCAGGCCATGTTCGAGAAGGCAGTCTGCAAGATTCAAACCCGAGGAACCAATGCCTACACAAGACTTACCTGAGATAGAAAATTCCACCTCTACCAGTGCTTCCCAATGCAAAGACACTGTCTGTGAACTTGTTACAACGTCAACAGTAGAAAGAAAAGATCATGGCAATTCTACTGATAAATCTGAAGTTCAAGAATGTCGGAGGTCATCTGTCGGTAGGCCGCTACGGCGAGCCGTCGAAAAAGTTCAGTCATATAAGGAAATCCCACGTAATATCAAGATGCGCAGACAGGTATGATCAATCCTAACCCAATTTTTCTCTTCCTGTTGTCGAGGGGAGGACAGAGTTGTGACGATAGACAAGGTTGCATCACTGCTTTTGTAACTGTATCCTTTGATAGCTTTAGATTGTGCACCGACTGTTAAACCTCTAGTTTGCTTGCTTGTACTCTTAAGAAACACTTGCAACCAGAGCTCATTGCATGGATTCAACCATTCACAACACCTTTCAGACTAAAATGACCCATTAGTTATGACTTGCAACCAATCGG